GGGGGGGGGGGGGGGATTTCGAGTTTTATGGGCTCGAATCCCCACAGACCCCTTCGTTAGCGATTCTAGACAAATTATAATACACTGTCATAATTAGACTCGATATATGTGTGTAAGGGTAGAAAAGATGCACAGTTACACAGTGTAACAAAATGTTGAAATAAGGTTGCAATTTCCATTTATCATGAAATTCAAATATTTTTACAAATTTTGATTAATACTGCCGATTTTAGAGGTCACTTAAATGAGTTTCATGAGTCAAAATTAACAGGCAGTCTGCAATGCAACAAAAACTTGAAAAGTATTCGAATTCATTGCATTAAGCAAGCGGAGCCCCTTCAATTAGTAGCTAGGCAACATACACAAAATTCAGATACGGTTAGTATAATCTTTACTTCTTACCATGCGTTTAAGTGTGTCTTTATTCTTTAAGTATTCTAATTTTGCCGTATTTCTTTTCATTTTCAGAACGATTATCTTGTTGACTTTGTTCTCTCAAATCATGACAGAGGTTAAGGTCCCGGGGATAAAATACTCCTCAAAACACGGACTGAAAATAACTTGGTTCAATCTGTTCAAGCTTTTTCCGGTAAGTTGTCATAAGTCATTGGACATTTTGATATCCCAGGAATCTAAACTTCTGGTCTATTGTGCAAACAACCTTAAAGACCATCGTGGTGAATTCCGGTGCATGACTTGTTAGGGACCGGCTATGATTTACGCTTGCTTTTGAAAGACGATGCAAACACTATAAGAATTAAAGGAAATATATATTTTGCAAGATCGTGGGAGAATAAGTTAAGGAATCAAGTTCAATGCAGGTTTTGAAGGTGGAAAACTATGTAAGTGCTTAAGAAACATTATCTTTAAGTGGTAATTTCAAGCACTTTCAAAGTACCTATCTGTTCATTACTGCATGTGCTTGAGCTCGTCATAACGTAATGAAATTCGATGGTGAGAGTCGAGAAATCTCCGAACTCCTAACAAAATAACCCAGGCGGCACACAGTGGATCGAGTCAATCAGAGAGGTCGGACATGAAATTTTTAACTGAAACTGCTAATTTTCCTGTTTATTTCGTCACATTTTAGGTTTCAAGGGGTGTTTATGGTAGAAAATTTTACGAGAAAACCAATGGAACCATGTTAAGAACCTCAAAATTTTGTATAAATGGAGTTACAAGCGTTTGAAGTCTCCAAATTTTGTCCGACCTCTCCTATTGACTCGATCCGCTGTACGACGTCTCTATAAAATTCAATTTTTTTTTTTTAAAAAAAAATTCGCTCTCACGGAAAATTGTCGGATCTGGATGGAGGGGGGGGGGGATTCATAGTTAATGAGCCCGAACCTTACCCAGACCCGTTTATTACACTTTCAAACGAAGGAGCTGTGATGATCAGACGTGATAGGTGTGCCTCAGAGATATTGATAACAGATCACTATGCCCCAATTGTGGTATGCAAAGCCCTATAGCGTCTAAAACTGGAGAATTTTTTGAACTTGACTTGCAGGTGCTTCTGACGATCATGATCATGTGGGCAGTCTGCGCAATCCTCACATACATCGACTACTTCCCACCCGGGCATCCCGCGAGAACCGACATTAAACTGAACATCGTCCATGCTTCATCGTGGTTCCGAGTTCCATATCCAGGTACTATTTCAGTCAAGAAAATTAAGCTTTTTAAGCTGCTTAGATAACATATCACGAAGATGAAACTGCAAAAATGCGTACCTCGTTTCCCGTGTTGCAAGATCTACGCTCTTATATTATTTTATTTTTTTCAGGAGAGAGAATCGCGACATCATGGCTCGAAATTTGAATAGTATGTACTCACAAAGAGTCCTCTTGTCTCAGGGAAGTTTTCAAGACACGGCGTTGGGTAGTCTTCCATTTAAAGTTGCAAACCGCGAAATACACGTGTTTGCCAGTGGCGTGGCGTGTTTTGCGATGTATTGGTTGTTATGTCATTTAAACCTACAGAAAAGGATCGATAAACAGGGTGTTCGCAACGAGCACCTTAATACTCGATTCTTTACCATAGCTTCAAATAGGGAAATATCGATAATCGTTTATTCACGCCACGCCACTGGTGTTCGCAGTTTCACCGTCGATCCTCATATAAACTGTGCATTCACATCGCACACACACATTTACACATTTTTTTTTTTTTTTTTTTTTTTTTTTTTTTTTATTTTTTTTATTTTTTTTATTTTTTTCACATTTTATGAGAAGGCCTGCGAATCTTATTTTGAGGAAGTAAAACTTATACGTCAGGGGATCAAAGTTTTCTAGCGATTTATTGAGGATTTGAGCATGATGATGAGTGTGTGATTCCAGAGCCGATAAACAACGTTAAAAAAAACAGGGTTGAAAATTGTAGGTACTTGTAAAAGACAATACATTTTCTTTTTTCAAGCAGTAAGTTGTTTCAGTTTATGTGCCCACTGTCTTTAGAATACAGCGACGAGTGTTTTTCTTCATGAAAGTCTGAAGTCATCACAAAAGACTAATTTCATTACAACTCAAAAGTTGGTGTAAAATGGTGAGATGCGGTAGTTTTCAGGGGGGTCTTTTCCAAAAATTTCCAGGTAATAACCCCGTGCCCTTCTCATTCTGGAGGGGGGCTTCGATCCTCCTCAAGCGGTCAAGCCCCCCCCCCCC